ACATATGTTAGCTTTAACCAAAAAAAACTGAGACAGTTCACGGTATTTTCATTTTGTTACACGAAGGTGAAGGAAGAAGCCGGTTTCGACTGCAAACCAATCACGTTGATGCTGATTCAGGAGCAGGGACCGCAGTGGATTCGCTTTATCTTCTTAGCCAAAGTCACCGGTGAGAGGTCTCGGACATGGAGCGTGTTCTTGTCCTTCAACTGTTTCTCTTTAAAAAAAATTTTTTTAAAAAGTTGCATATTTACAGCGAAGTCCTCTCTGTGTCTCAGGCGGGGAAATAAAAACGCTGTCGGCCGCAGACCAGGAGTCTCTGCAGGCGTCCTGGGGGGACAGACACTCTGTCCTCCCTCTCTGAGGGGACGGGACATCGGACTCAAGTATGAGGCGTTCAGGGGTTGCTGCTTTTTCGATCGGGACGTCCGATATTAAGTTTTCGGCGATATCGGATATGCCGATATTGTCAAAAGACTTCCGATATCAACCTTTACCGATATATGCAGCTGTTTGCCCCCAAAACTAGCTAAACGTCTCAGGAACCATTTTATCAGACGAAAAATCAATAACGATTCTTACCGATGTTACATAATTATGCTAATATCAGGTCAATTATATCGGCCGACCGATAATATCGGACATCCCTATTTTTTGATGTGTGGTTGTCGAAAGTCGATCCTGATCACGTCGGTAAATCCACTCCGCTGTCGTGTGACGTTCAGGTACCTTCAGGCTCCTTGGCATCCCGCTACTCTTTCTGTTGATTTGAGCTCCCGTCACGTGATGCAGAGAATGGTCCTGGTCTTCACCAACTATCGGAACCAGATTTGGATTCTACTCATCAAAGGTACCAAACGCATTCGAACGCATCATTAGCTACGAGAAAGTTGCGTTCTCATCTCACGTCGTGACATCGCGACTTTAACTACGTCACTTATTTTGTTGACACTTAATTTACCGATTCGTCTATATTTGTCTCCTGAAACACACCTCGAACCCAGCGTCAACCTTTGTTGCCCCACAGCGGCGGCGGTAAAGACCTAC